GGTCTTAGTTAATCTGCAATACCAGATACTGGTCTATGCCCCTGAAGAGGTAGTCGTTCGGGTCATTGATGGCCTGCCATCAATAACAGGTGAGATATCTTGGTCCCCTGCATGGTGAAGAGGATTATGATTGCAAGAAGGAATCAACTCTATCACTGCATTGTAGGATTTTGAAAGCTGAAATCTGAGTCCACTTCTGCTGTTTAAGGTTGGTTTTTCTTTCTTATAGGTTTGAGTTTTGAGAATAACTCAGAATGTATGAAAATTCCACTGGTAAAATTTTTACCAATATAGACAGGTTAGACATCATTGGAAAGCTTAGATTCTTAGATTTTATACTCCATTTGTCCATAAGGGTCCGCAGATTAAAAGTAATCCAGCATATTCAGAATAAAAATATTCCATGATGAGGAAATCGCCCATAATCCGGTTGTTGACATCAGAAAGGTTAGCTGGTCATAGCGTATTCTCAGCATCTTGCCAATATTTACTTCCTAATAATTATCCTCGGTTGTTTTTAGGTTCTTTACATCATGTTCTTATCTACAAGACATGACGTGATTTGAGCGAGATATAGTCCCCGAAATCTCACTTTCGGTCTACTTCTCGTCACTTCCTGTCAGCCAGTGACACGAAATATTCTGTGTCATAATTCTCTGCTGTTATTGATTAAGACACATGGGTTATTGGGCTTTGTAGCCAATGAAATAAGATTTCAAACAAGCCAAAATGTGCCTGGTTTATTTAAAGGGGTACCATATTACAGGCTTGTGTTAGAGAGAAACACAGACACCAGCGGGTGGAGCCATTGCACGCCGCTCCAAGTTCAAAACCCCACAGCTCTGGAACTGTTGTAGCTAGAGGTCTGAAATTTTCTGCCTTTGTGATTGACATAATGTAGAGCAAATATAATACAATTAGACCTGCCTATTCTCAAGAATGTATTTATTACTGCTGTTCAAAAAATACCTATCATTTCAAAGAATAAAAAAACTACTTTGAGTCATGTTTTAACTGATGCAGCTTGGTCTTGGTAATTTATGTAGTCAGAAACTACGGTGTGTTAGCTTTCTTATAATGTATTTCACATGTAATTTGGGCTTACATTTCCTAAGTTATTTGCTTTTCTATTTGGCTCTGCAAAATAGGCCAGAATTTCCCAAAATGAGGTGGATTTTAATGTAGATGGTTTCCTTCACACCGCTCTCAAACCACCTGTCTTCTTTGTCTAAAATGTGAACATTCTGGTCCTCTAAATAATGTCCTCTGTCCATCAGGTGTAGATGTACCGCAGTATCTTGTCCAGAGGAGGGTGCTCTTCTGTGTTGGGCCGTGTGTCTGTGGAGAGGTTGTTTGGTTTCTCCAACATAAAGATCAGAGCATTCCTCACTGCATTGAACTGCAGGCACCGCTTCGCTCAGATTTGGTCTGGGGGTTTGGTCTTTAGGATGAACTAGTCTCTGTTTAAGGGGCTGTTTGGTTTGAAATGTTCTGGGATTTTGTGTTTGGAGAAAATCCTCTTGGGTTTTTCAGAGACTCCAGCAACATATGGGATGGAGATGTTGTTGCCTTTATTCTTCTGACTGTTATGTTCTGCTGCGTATCTTTTCCTTGCTGATTTGACAATCGCCCAGTTTGGGTATCCACAGGCCTGGAGAGCATCTTTGATGTGTTTCTGTTCTTTGTGCTTCTGTTTTAGTAGGGACATGCTCTGCCCGCTGTTGGAAGTTTCTGATAACTGAAAGTCTGTGTTCCAGTGGGTGGTGTGAATCAGAAAGAAGATATTGGTCTGTGTGAGTGGATTTCCCATAGACTTCAGTGTTGAGGTTTCTATATCCTTCCATGCTCACCAAACAGTCCAGGAAAGGTATATTGTTGTTTTTAACTTTTTTGGAATGACTATGACCTGAATGACAGAGAATCTTCACCAGCATTCTGGAATATATAAAAAATATCTGCACAGTAGAGAGCTAAGGGATGACTACACATAGTTGACTTGGATTATTGTACTTTTACTGCAGAGATGTACTGACCTTATAAATAAGCAAAAATGACACAGGCTGCACGGTATTTGGCATGAGTTATTGCACAGTGAGAGAGAAGAGTATTGTACATGAGTGACAATAGGTAATGTTTAGCATCAGATGTCCAAGGAGGGGGGTGCTGACCCTTGTCCCTCTTTCTATCCGCTCCTCCTTCCCCCCAGTGAGGAGTTGTAGAGCTTGAGAATTATTAAAATGCTATCCAGCCAACAGAACAACTTTTGAATTACACAGTAACTTTGGAGTGTTAAAGTAACACTTTAAGAGTGCATTTGGTCCCACTCGGAATTATTGTTAAATTAGAACTCTACGTAGTGTTTATTTTACTCCAGTGATTGTAATAACTCTTACAGAGTATACGGACTGTTGGGACGGGAGTTAATTGAAATAACCAACCGTCTTTCCCTCATCACATGCTACTGGCCAAAGTGGCCTGGCCTTCTTCTCTGATAGGCGCACTGCTGCTGCAGAGAGATGCAGGCCAGCAGGCCAATCCCAGGCTGGCGCTTTGGGAATACTCCAAGTTCTCCCAATGGCCAGTCCGGGTTTGACTCAGATTAAAACCCAAACACCCCCCAGAGTTATTTCTGCCAACAAGTCAGGTCCAACTTTTTTTCTCATAACAAAGGGAGTGGTGACCTAGTTGTTAGGGTGTTGCACCTGGGTCCCAGAGGTTCAGAGTTG